GTGTGTGTATATATATATATATATATAACATTTCTGTCCCCCTCACTTCTGAAATGATGGCTACGCCCCTGTATATAGTATACACAGTGTAGTTTTTACACAGCAAACAGCAGAAACGGCGAGAAAGACCGTGGCAGCTGCCACGAACTCTGGCAGCTGCCTTTGACTCCTTGCAAAAAGTGTGGCAGCTGATACATAAAAATGTATAATAATAATAATACAATTGTGGGAACTTTGCATCATCATTTAAAAAAAACACCACCGCACGCCACGAGAACAGTGTAGTTTTTACCGAACAAACAGCAGAAACGGCGAGAAAGACCGTGCCAGAGGAAATTTTTTTGCTCTTGCTCTCTCAAAAACTATAGTAGTGACATAATGATAGTAAAATAACACTGGTATACTGTTAATTTCAGATGTTTCCACAAACACCAATTTTAGCATTTAACGTTTTTTGAATAACGTTCTAAGTTCCTATGAATTATTCTAAGTTCCTATGAATATACATTTATATGATGATATGAATATTAAATTGTTGATATGCATGGATTTGTAAATGTACTTCAGAAATGTTCATTTATAAATAGTGGTCGACCGATATATCGCCAGGGCCGATATATCGGCCGATATTTGGCATTTTTCAAATATCGGCATTGGCCGATAAGTTTTTCTGTTTGGCTGATGCGTTCGAGGCGGGACTTTTATTTTGACGGCGCTGAGAATGGCAGCGCCTGTGCGAGCACACAGTGCTCACATTCTCCCTCTTGTTCGCTGTTGTTCTGTCTAATATGGATAGAAGTCTGTCTAATAATCAAATAGAATGGTTAAACAAAGGAATTAAAAGGTATACAAAAAGTATTATAACGATTGCTTTTATATTATTAGTAATAGAAAGGCAAACATTATAATACTTTCTTTCTTGAACACTTTATGCATTTTCCCACTGCCATATTCATGTAATTTCCACTGTGTGCTGTATGTAAAATGATTGTTACCTTGGATTTATTTGAAAAAATATGATTCCCAATGCACACTTTGTCATCTAAAGTATAAGTATGTTTATTTAACAGAATTATTTTTTAATCCATTTTCAAATGATTTCAAATTTCTTAAATATTAAATTAAGTACAATTATATCGGCTTTAAATACAATGGCCATCGGCCACCCTGCTTTTCAAGATATCAGCATCGGCATCGGCTGTCAAAAAACCAATATCGGTCTACACAAAACCAATAAAACCCATTACAAACGAGGCATTTTTTGCATCCAGTGGGGACGCCACCCTGCTTTCCAAGATATCGGCATCGGCTGTCAAAAAACCAATATCGGTCGACCACTATTTATAAATATTACATAATATTACAAAAATTACATAATATATAAATTATATATATATATATACACATACATAATATAGATATATAGGTATTAATATATGAAATTAGATTAACTTTTTCACATTTTTGCTTTAAATGTTTCCATCTGTTGTGTGTTTTCTGATCTAGTGCAGTTTAAATTAATGATGTGAAGTCACATTGTGACTATTGCCACTGCCAAACTGCCATTCAAACGAATGACAGTTTTAATGATTATGTATCTTTTTTTTTTTTTTTTTTTTTTTTTTTGTTTGTGAAGCAGCAGGTTTATTGTGTCTGGCCCATTTTCTCAATCTAATCTCTCTGCTCCATCTGGGAAGTACTTAAAGGAATAGTTCTCTCAAAGTTTCTGTCGTTTACTCGCCCTCATGTTTTTCCAAAACCGTAGGAGTCTTTTTCTTACTTTTAACACAAAAGGAGAGGGATGATGTTACGGATCAGCGGTGCGTTTCCCAAAAGCGTTATTAGCTAACTATGGTGGTAATTTCAATTGAACTCTATTGGTAACGACGGAACTTGTGACCATTTTTTTTTTTGAGAAATTATGTATTTTTTTTTTTTTTTTTTGTCTATTTTCTGATAGGTTCGGCATATTCTGTGTGAAAAGCATGGCAAGTGTATGGAAGCAATGGAGAAACTCAAGTCTGGCATGCGCTTCAGTGAGGTGGCAGCACAATACAGTGAGGACAAAGCCAGACATGGAGTAAGACATTTTCCATGTATATAAACAGTGGATTAGTATTAGTAACAGTAATGTGACACTTGCATGATGTGGAAAGAGTTAAAAAAATAAATAAATCCTGTAGCTCCTATGGGTACTATTTGTTTTTTACCAGCAGATGGCATTCAATGCACTATCCGTGTTGGAAAATTGCTCAAAATCTAATGTGCATAGAATACTGAACACATATTATTGTTATTATTATTATTATTATTATTATAACACTAATGTACAGCCTTTCTGTATAATTTCTGTATCAATCTGTTTAAAATAAGTTATATGAAAGAATATGTTTCATAAAAGAGCTTTACCGGGTTCCATTAATCAAAGAGCTCTGGGTGAAATTGAAGGTGTTTCATTTATTAAAACAAGCCGTTTCCACAGTGATGGACTGAAAACGCATAGCTGCGTCTCAAATCCTAGAGCCGAGATGGCATTTTGAACATCATGCGATCATGCCCAAAATGTATGCAAATATATTTTATATATCTTAGAGGTAGGTTTTGAGTCATAGTTTTTATTATCGAAAATTATTAGATAAAGTCCCTTTTATTAATGTTTTCTGATATTTCTAACTTTATCATAACATTTGAATTGTGTATCGAGGTAGAAAACTAATACACCTGGAAAAAGCTGGTGCCTACTTTTAGAACTGCATATACCTTTAATTTTACAATTTTGATCAAAGTATGTTTTAGTACTACTCTGTAATTTGTTATTCAAATTATATACTTTTTTTTTGTAAGTATCAAGACAACCTTAACGACGGCTTGTATAGTTTAAAGCTTTGATTTGTATACAGGGTGACCTTGGCTGGATGACAAGAGGATCAATGGTGGGACCATTTCAGGATGCAGCATTTGCACTACCCATCAGCACTATGGACAAACCTGTATACACCGATCCTCCTGTGAAAACAAAGTTCGGTTACCACATCATCATGGTTGAAGGCAAAAAGTAAATGGACTGAACAGCTTTTGCATTTGATTAATCTACAACACAGCATTTTGCAGTCATGGATATTGGTTTTTTTTAATATGACCATGTGAATAGCAGCCAATAAAATTTATCTTAATGAGCAAACTGTTTTGATTAATGTTTTTTTTCCTCACAAATTTTGTTGTAGCATCATATTTGGGGAAGTCGTGGCCTAATGGTTAGAGAGTCGGACTCGTAACCCAAAGGTTGCGGGTTCGAGTCTCGTACAGGCAGGGATTGTAGGTGGGGGGAGTGAATGTACAGCGCTCTCTCCCACCTTCAATACCACGACTGAGGTGCCCTTGAGCAAGGCACCGAACCCCAACTGCTCCCCGGGCGCCGCAGCATAAATGGCTGCCCGCTGCTCCGGGTGTGTGTTCACGGTGTGTGTGTTCACTGCTGTGTGTGTGCACTTAGGATGGGTTAAATGCAGAGCACTAATTCCAAGTATGGGTAACCATACTTGGCCACATGTCACGTCACGAATATTTCCAATAAGTCTTACTGATGCTGTACTGCATAAGTATATTTTTTTAAACTACAGAACAAGAATATTATATTAATATTACATCCTGAATTATATTACTACCCTGAAACACCCAATACATGCTCCTACTTCACAGTCTCTAGATTCTAGATTTGGATTTTACAATTAGCTTTTTACCATTATTTGCTTATTATATATTTGTTTATGATACTACAGAACATGAAATGTGTGTGTTATTGCTAATATTATCACTAGAACTATTATTGTCGTGACCTGAAGTGCACTGGCAGTAACAGGAAGTCGCTTTTGCTTCATTGTCTAGACTACTATTGGCTGAAAAATATGGAGTCAGATGACGCAATATTTCCGGGTGTGACAGCACGAGCTGGAGGTAACTGTCGGTCATTGCGCTCGGCAGCGAGAGACTCGAGCACCCGATCCGGCTGTGAAGGTAAGAGACTAGAAGCCGGAAAGATTTAACCGGCATCGTTTTCTAGCCAGCTACTCCTACATTACTGTAATCTCTCACCTCAGTGATGCTTAACGAGGGGATTGTTTTTCATTTTTTTCTTGTTTACTGCGACAACTTTATAGATGGCTGAAAGAGATAAAGGGAACGCTAGCTGGCTAACAGCAGGCTGTTTCATCACATCTGAATATTACACGTCATTACTTGGTCTGAATGAAGCTTAAAGTGTGTAAATATTGTTTTAATACATGATGAGTTAATGTGATGGAAAAGCATGTCTTGGCTGTGATGATGATGATGCTGCGTTTGACGTTTCGCGTCCGACGAAGAGCGCCCTCATCTTCATCATCATCTTCATCACATTCACATTCCACGGTGATGGACTGAACACGTGTAGCTGCGTCTCAAGTCCACAATTTTATAGTTTTTATTATCGAAAATTATTAGATCAAGTCCCCTTTATTCATGTTTTCTGACATGTCTAACTTTATCTGACCTTTAAATCCTTTAAAACTACATGTTACAGAAAGTTAGACTTTCTAAAGTGGAACTGACATGACAACATCATCAGTGGGTTATGTTAATATTTGTATAAGAACTGTAATCACAGCCACTCAATAGCATTATTGATGTGTACTTTGAAAGTGTACGTTCAGGTCAACCTGACACAAGGTGTTGTCCTTTTAGTAAACAGAGGTCAGTTTGTAAAAGATGATGATAAATGCTACAAAGATAATAGGATCTGATCCAGGATCCAATCAATCTATTCCAGTCCGCTGTGTGTCCACCTGCTGAAGATCTGACCCGTGAGTGGGGTGAGCTGGAGGGATTGATATCATTGGCTGTCTTCTCAACTGACCACTCTAACCAGGCTTTAGGGTTCACATTGAATATAACCTTTGTACAGGGCAGAAACATTTGTTTCTTCGTAAGTTAATTTGTTATTAGGTAATGTAATTACCTTTGGAAGAGCAAGGGTAGAGCTTTCATTAATTCGATATTCCTAGAGTAAAGGTATGTGAATGAAAGTATATGACATTTAATTGTAGATACTCATTTTTTCCTGTTTTTACATTAGATGATGCTAAGGGTAATGTTTTTTAATTAACACTGTTAAATGCTCATTTTAGCAAATATTCATTTTACATATTGTATATTATAGTAGTGATGTCTAAATTCATTTATAGCATTTCAAATTTTAGTTGATTTGAGTTTTTATACCAAAAAATGTTATGAATATCAACAATTTATTGATTATTTACCGTAACATAAAAATTATTATAGACTTATTGCCAGAATTTTAAAAACGGTGGATCCGTAATATGCGTTATATTTGTATCAGCTTTGTCCAGTAAAGTTGGTGGTCTTTCTTACACTTATAATTTAATAACGGTGTTAAATGTTATATTTAGCAAATCACAAAATGAATAACTATGTGAAACGTTAAAATCTTGATGTCTACATTCACTACTAGCATTTAAAAACGGTTTCTTTTTTAGTGTTTTTGTTTAGACAAAAAAGTTCAGAATTTATATTTTGGCCTCTAAAAAAGCACTAGTTGACCAGTAGGTGGTCTTTCTTATATTAGAATAGCAGACTTTTGTTTTGCCCAATCCGTGAACTTCATATCAGGGTGTGGATTGTGTCAACATCACATGCCATTTCGCCAGAGCTGATCACGACTTGATCTATTGAACTATTGTCAGCATAAACAAACAAGAGGGATTACTAACTGCCATAGTAAGAGGGATTTGGTTATCTGCTGTTATTGAGTGTCTGCCTGAGTCAGTGGACTATGTCTTACATTAACCTTCTGCCTTTAGCTCATACTTTTGCAACAGGCCCCTGCAGTTGGTCACACTCGTCATCACCGTCAGTAAGGACTCATGTTTAGAGGGATCCATTTTCATAGACAATGCACAGCTTGGCAGCACAGTAACAGGACGATGCAAACCTATGTAAATTGTGTACAGGTTGTAACAGAAGTGTTAAGGTGATGTTGTTCCTGTTGTATCCATTTATGGGCAACTCATTTCTACTTCCTTAATCTGACACCAGTCATGTGATCAAGAGATGACCTTTATCTTCATGACTCTTGAAATAAAGTTATCTTAAGCCAGAGGTCACTTACGTGGCTAATGACGGAGATAAAGTCTTTCTGCTAAACTCAATGAAACAGATTTCTGTTAATTATTTTGGGTGTTTCCTTGAAATCTAACCCATGGCCTTGGCATTGCAGCAACTGGAACAGTAGATAAAACAAGTGTCAAGTTTCTTCTATAACATTAATAGATGTGTGGTAATATCATGTAATTGTTTTGTTCATCAGTCCACCCTGTCTTTAGGCTAGGGCAACCTCCGCAGGATGTTTGTGACTTTATACTAGTCGTTAAATCAGAACCAGAGAAACACTATTCACTGGCCAGGTATGTGTCTTTTCTGTGGCACATGTGACCATCCTCTAATAAGCCTCGCTTGTCTCATTAAAGCAGCTGAATGAATACAGACTGTTCCGCTTGAAGCCTCAAACATGTTTTTCTCATAGAAATGTCTCGTAGGTTTGTGTTTTAGATGAGTACACTTGAATAACATGCATTCCCTTTGATTGTGATTTCATCAGGTTGCACATTTTGGAGCCACATATTGGACTCTTTCCTTATCTTTCTGAACTTCGATCCTGGGATCCTCAGTTGGACACAGGGCAACAACAAACTTGCTCTGTTTCAGGCTTGGCCTGATCCCTTCATCTTTCAGTCCCCTTCAGCTTCTCAGCAGACGTGCGTCTGAACATGGACCTGAGTGCCGTTCTCTTGTTCCCAGTGCATGCAGTAGTATGGCTCTACTCCCTCTTGAGCTTTCTACCATGGTACTTCCTGACTGGAGCCCAGAAAAAGAAAGCCCTGGCAAAGAGAGTCAAATCCAGGTCAACCACCGGTCAGGCTGAAGGGCCGTATCGATCCGTGGATCACTTCGACTCCCTGGTCACGAAGGACTTTCCTGGAAAAGACACCCTAGATAAGCTGTTTGACTATGCGGTGGAGCGTTTCGGAAAAGCGGACTGCCTGGGAACTAGAGAAGTTCTGAGCGAAGAAAATGAGACTCAGCCGAATGGGAAGGTCTTCAAAAAGGTACATCCTCTTCGGACATATTCTGTACGGCTGTGATCACAATGCAAGCCAAAGTGTGTAATTCTAATTTTCTGCTTTAATCCAATTCATTTAGTGAGGTTGTTCACATGACCTTTGTAATTTAGCTTATATCATGCGCTGGTCTAAACAAGTGACTCTCCTAAATTGGCCTGTGTGCATAAAGTATGATAAATGTGCCCAACTGTTTAAAGGTTTGGGGTCGTAAGATTTTTTTGTTTCTTAAAAGAAGTCTTTTACTCTAACCAAAGCAGCATTTATTTAATACAAATACAGTAAAACGGTAAAATAGTGAAATATTACAATTTGAAATAACTGTTTTCTATTTTATTATATTTTAAAATGTAATTTATTCCTGTGATCAAAGCTGCATTTTCAGCATCATTACTCCAGTCTTCAGTGTCACATGATCCTCCAGAAATCATTTTAATATGCTGATTTGCTGCTCAATAATATTTTTTTCTTTATTTGAAATGGAAATCTTTTGTAATAATGTAATGTAAAAGTCTTTATTGTGATGTTTGATCAATTTAATACTGTAGTCATTTCTTTCTAAATGAATCTTACTGACACCAAACTTTTAAAAGGTAGTGTAAATATTCCTTTGAATACAATTTTATTTTGAACATTATATTTATATATATTCATACATTTATAAATGTTAGTTTATACATATTTATATATCATAATGTATTATGTGAAATTAAAATAACATTTTCATATTAAAAACTAATTTACATTTTACCATAGCTTGTATTTATGGTTCACAAGAAAGGTAAATCAATTATAGAAATCAGGTTAAATTGACTTACAAATCACATAATTCCTACCCGAGGCCACAGTGAAGTTACGTTGGACTCTGAGAATGTCTGACACATATATATTTGGGGACTGGAAATATAGAGATTAATTGAAAATGTCAGATTCAGTATTCATTTTGCTGTTTACACTGTCATCCAACATTTTGGTCACATTCAGATGCAATGTGTATTTTGCCAAAATTACCATTTGTTGAGAAGAGGGGAAAAACTCCAGGTTGAAGTATTTTTTAATATGAAGGTGTTTGATGGTTTTGTCTTGGCAGTTAATTCTAGGCAATTATAAATGGGTATCCTATGAGGAGATGGACATTCAGGTCAGTCAGTTTGGGAGTGGACTGTCAGCACTAGGCCAACAGCCAAAAAACACCATCGCTATTTTCTGTGAGACAAGGGCAGAGTGGATGATCACGGCTCAGACCTGCTTTAGACGCAATTTCCCATGTAAGGAAACAGATTATTTTTTACTCTTACTTACCACACTATCTCTTTTTTTTCCACTAAGGAAAAATGATTTCAAATGAGTCATAGGTTTTATCCCTTAATGCTTTAATGTGATGACACATAGATGTACTGTGACATCTCAAGATTGAATTAATGTCTTCGTCTTTATCTTCTTTTGTTAATTTCCGTTTCTTGTGGGTTTTTGTAGTGGTTACCTTTTATGCAACTCTAGGAGAAGAGGCAGTGGCTTTCGGATTGAATGAGTGTGGAGTTACACACCTGGTCACCAGCGTGGAACTGCTGGAAACCAAACTGAAGGTGAGCCAAAGACCGCAATGTAACAGTGATGTGTTTCCTGCACTACTGTTACTACAGATTCACAGCAAAATAATATATATTACTCGAGTTGAATGGGTTAAAATGACTGGGTATCATGACTCAATGCCAAATTAGCATGTTTTCCAGTTCCATTGTATTTGCTAGCTGCACTCAAAAATCAGTGTAGTCCATATCACAAACAATCAAATGACCAGTGCTTTTAAACAGTTACAAAATAGGACTCAGGAACTCATGAGTTATTAGTTTGAATCACATAATGAACAGTTGAACAGAACTCACTCTGACACACATGTTTGACTCAGTTAATAACTTCAGTTAGAAAAGGGTTTAACAGGAACACCAAGTCGGGCCTGTACTGTCGTTCAAATTTTTCCAGTGGGCCACCAACATCATAAGACATTGATATTTGGTTGGCTATAAGTGACCAAAATTCAATGTCAGGACAAGTTCTAATGCCAATGTTAACTTGACATAAAATCTGACGAAAGCTGGTGTGGTATTAAAAGTAACCGAAATTAATGCCAGCAACATACTGATGTCATAATGCTAACTTCCACACAGCTTTAATTTATAACATCATTAGACGTTGATATTTTGTTGGTTTTAAGTAGGGATGCACCGATACTGGTATTGGTATCGGGCCGATACTGGTCTCCTGTACTCGTTAAAATGCCCCAATACCAAACGCCGATACCACACAGCATGTGATAAGCGCAATATTCAAACAACGAAACACCAACAACAGACAGCAGAAAGAAGTTAAGGATGTCTACGAAGTATATGTATGCAATGAATACAATGTTAAACTTTCAGGATTAACGCCTGTATAGCTGATGTGCGCGAGCTGATAAACAAAGCACGCTGAGTGGATTGAGCGCGCGGCGGAGCAGATGCGCGAGCTTGTCGAATGAATATATCTTTCTCACAGACAAGTGAAAGTAACAAAAACTTGTAAAATACATTTTAATGCGCAAAATTAAGTGTGAAAATAACCGAAGGATATAAGGATATATCTGGAGACCAGATATAATTTTTGATATTTTTTTTTTACTAGTGGGTGCAGGACACTATAGTTCATTTATATA